AAATGAATAAACATATAAAATGACATAATTCATGGACTTTGATGTTTCTGTGATCTCCCCAGTCTGAATTATGTTTTGTACAGTAGCTTCCACAAAATTACTATTGAATGAATGTTTTCTGAAAAGACCTTCATATCTAGAACACAGTGATTAAATTATAAAAACCAGTGAGCAATATAATTTGGACAAGATCTCATAATGAGTTGCAGTAGTTTGTTCAAGGTATTAGATCCAGGTGTTGGAACACATTTTATGGAAAAAACTGGTGAGCATGTGATTAGCAATGTGTTATTTATTTGACCTCACATAAAGGTGAAAATAGTATGTCCACCATTTCTTCCTATTTACCAAGTAGCCAACTAGGCACTCATCCAAGAGATACAAGGATAAACATGATATAGCCCATATGCTTGTATTTCTTAGTCCTATTGTGAAGGCAAGAGATATGTGAATGCTTGAGTGGTGGCCCATTCTCCAAATGATATATTGAAGTCAAAGTTCTTACATAGTCTACCCCTACATTCTCTGTCACTCTCTCCCTCATTGACTCCTCTAGCCATATTAGTTTTGCGGCAACATCTTTCCAAACTCAGAACCTTCCCACAGGCCTTGTCACTGCTTTGAATACTATTTATCCTAAGTTTTCTTGAGTTATTACTTACTCATCATTTAGATATCAGTTTAAATGTCAATTTCTGAGAAAGGCATTTCTCTACCTAAATTAAACCTGCTCACCACACAATTGTTTTCACTTATGTTACCTTGCTATGTTACTACAGTGAGTGGAAACATGCTAAGTGCTCCATAGATATTTATTGATTGAATTTATTGAATAGAAATAGAGCAGAATTTCACCAACAAATGTGTTTTGTTTTCTTTCACCTGGTGTTTTAAAATTGACAAATTCTGCATTAATTATAATATTATGAAATTCTTCTAAAAATCAAAATAATCTGACTTCACTTTGCTTGCATTTTGGCCTGGAAGCAAATGACTGAAGCTGAGCAGCAACTTCTTCCATTAAAAGGCAAATGCTCGGGTCCAGCCCCATGGCCAAGTAGTTAAGTTCCTGTGCTCTGCTTGAGGGCCCAGTGTCTCCCCAGTTTGGATCCTGGGTGTACAGATGGCACCACTCATCAAGCCATGCTGAAGTGGTGTCCCACACAGCACAACTGGAAGGACTCACATACAGCTAGAATATGTAACTATGTACTGTGGGGTTTGGGGAGAAGAAAGAAAGAAAAATAGAATATTGGCAACAAATGTTAGCCCAGGTGCCAATCAAAAAAGAAAAAAAAAATGCTCTATGGTTTGCCAAAAACGCCCAAACTTCTTGTTATTATCTTCTAACCTGTATCCCAACTTCACAACCATATTTAAAATTTTTAGACCACAGTATTGAACATAGTGTGAGATACACTAAAAATTTTAGTTACAAAATACAATAGGATCACAATGCAGAAAACGATCATTTCTACCTAGAAAGTCTAGCAATATAACTCACAGGTGATGACTTTATATCCACAGTGACTTGATCAAGTGAGAAAGAGAGAACAAGACAGCTTTCATATATGAAGATAGAAAGTCATGATTGTAATTGTAATCACATTTGTCCCATATGAGTTTATGTCAGCTTAGTGGAATAATCTTTTTTTGCCCTCGAAATAATGCCATCATTAACCTGATACTTAACACAGTCTGCTACATAATGAAACAACCTAGATTCTAATAAGAGATGAATGGGTAAATACATTGTGGTATATTATTAAAATGCAATCCTATCCAATAATAGAAACTATATCAAATTATTGATCCATGCAACAACTAGATGATTCTCAAAAGCATTTTGCTAAGTCAAAAAATTTACACTCAAAGGACCATATCTCCTTTGATTCCATTTATATGAAATACAGTTGAGAAAACAAATCTATGATTGCCATGGGCTGGGTATGCAGGAAAGGAACTGTCTGCAAAGGGATAAAAAGGCAATTATGGGAGTGATGAAAATGTTCCTATATCTCAGTTGTGGTGGTGATTATATGAATGTACACATTTGTCAAAACACATTGAATTGTGCTTAAAGTAGGTAAATTTTATTGAAAGTAAACTACATATTAATAAAATAGTTTTTAAAAATGCCTTTATGTTTTATTACCCATCAAAGAAGAGTAAGTGAAAAATCAAAGAAGTTAAATCAATTACTCAAAGGATACATATCAAACTTTAGAAACAAGGCTCAAATTCATTTGTACCACATTATTTATTACAGTATACTGTTTCCACAGGAAATAGTTGTTTGTGAAAAAATGGATGTATCCACCAATAAAAGATAAAATCATACAATCATCTATATATAAGCACAAAAATCACTTCTTTTCATGATAGATAGTAGATAGTAGAAAAATCAAAGTATTTTTATGATCAAAAGCATTCAACAAATTAGAAATAGAAAAAACATAACTCAAAATAATAAAGGCCATATATGACAAACCCACAGCTAACATCATAATCAATGGGAAAAGGATGAAAGCTTTTCCTCTAAGATCAGAAACAAAATGAGTGTGCCTGCTATCATCATTCCTATTCAACTTAGTACTAGAAATCCGAGCCAGAGAAATTAGGCAAGAAAAAAACACCTGCTATCAAAAAGGAAGAGGTAAAATTGTCTCTGTTTGCAGATTAAATAATTCTACATAAAGAAAACCATAAAAACTCCAAAAAAACTGTTGGAATAAACAAATTTAGTAAAGTTTTAGGATACAAAATCAACACGCAAAAAATAATTGTTTTCTAAATACTAATAATGAACTTATTTGAAAAGAAATAAAGAAAATCTCATTTACAATGTCACCAATACCAATAAAATGCTTAGGAATAAATTTAAGATGTTAGAAGATCTGAACACTGAAAACAATTAGCCATTGACGAAAGAAATTGAAGAATAAGATTTACATAGAAAGCTATCCCATGTTTATGGATTGCAAGGGCTAAAATTGTTAAAATGTCCATACTATCCAAAGCCATCTATAGATTCAATTCAATTCCTACCAAAACTCCAATGACATTTTTCACAGAAATAGAATAAACAATGGTAAAATTCATATGGATCCACAAAAGACCCTGAATAACCAAAGCAATGTTGATAAAACAATCAGAAAAACAAAGCCAGAGGCATCATACTTCCTGATTTCAAATTATTTTACAAAGCTCTAGTCACAAGATTAGTATGGTATTTGCATAACAAATGGACACATAGACCAATGAAACAGAATTGAGAGCCCAGAAATAAACCCATATATATATGGTCAACTAATATTTGACAAGGGAGCCAAAAACACTCAGTGTGGAAAGGTTGGGTTCTTCAATGAATGGTGTTGGGAACACTGGATAATCACATGCAGAAGAATTAAATTGAACCGCTATCTTACAGCAGTCACAAAAATGAACTTGAAATGGATTAGGAACTTAGACAATAGCCCTGAAACATAAAGTACTTAGAAGAAAACATAGGGAAAAAGCTCCTTGACATTGGTCTTGGCAATGGCTATTTGTTTATGACACCAAAAACATAAGCGGCAAAAACAAAATTAGACATGTGGAACTACACCAAATTTAAAAGCTTAAGTGCAGCAAAAAATACAATCAATAAAATGAAAAGGAAACCTATATATTGAGGAAAATATTTGTAAACTATAACCAAAATATTTGTAAACCACATATAATTAAGAAATAATTACATATTAAAATAAATAAGGAACTCATATAATTCAATACAAAATACCCCAAATAATCCAATTTAAAAATGGGCAAAGGGCTGGAATGAACACTTTTCCAAAGGCATAAAAAAGGTTAACAGGTGCATAGACAGTGCTCAACATCACCAATCATCAGGGAAATGCACATCAAAACTACAGTCAGATACAACCTCATACCTGTTAGAATGGCTTTTATCAAAAAGACAAGCAGTAACAAGTGCTGGATAGTTGTAGAGAAAAGACAATCATGTGCACTACTAATGGGGATGTAAATTGATAAGTTACTATGGAGGACAGTATGAACTACTACAGTAGAACTGTCATATGATCCAGTAAGCCTACATCTGGGTATATATCCAGAGGAAATGAAATCATGATATCAGAGTTGTCTGCACCCCCATGTTCACTGCAGTAATATTCAGCATAGCCAAGATGTGAAAACAATTTTAGTGTCCATCAATAGAGGAATGGTTAAGACATATATACATATCTTATATATATATATATATATATCAGCCATATACCGAGGCTTACAGGTCAGAGAGAGGAAGTAGGTCCCTGTAGCTCAGAGGCCACAAACTGGATCCACAAACTCAGGTCAAGGAAAGGAAGGATAATTCTATACTATCCCTCATGCTTCCCTTTTCCATACTAACCATAACACAAGCACATTCACAAGAAACAAGAAATCATTATCATGACCCATAGTTTCTGATTCCATGGAAAGCCTATGAATGAGCCTTCCATTGGACAAGTACTGCCATTCTAAAGACATTTCTTAGAGTAAAAATCTGAGATACCCATGGATTTTCATTGCTATATGATTTGTATAAAAGGGAAATAAAATCACCTGCCATGGTTGATGAGTTTCTGGATAATAGTTTGTAAATCATTCAGTACTATAAAAATCTAATGGTTGGTATTTGTCATAGCATTATTTGATAATTTTGTCTTTTACCCCTTTGTAACAGTGTAAGTATTATGGATGGGATGATCTGTTCCTCATTGACTTTACAGAAGAATGACAATGACTTCTGGTTTGTCTTTGAATTTCTACGCAATATTTTTTTAAGTTTTCTGAGATTGTACTGCAAATGCTAGTGGACAACTTGATACATTCTTCCAAGGCCCATATGAAATTATGAAAAGCAAAACTACTCAGTAACAGAAAATGACTCGTTAATTTACATTGCTCATTAATTGGTCATATAACATGAATTTGTTACACAGCTGTGACCAAAGTGTCTATTTAGCAAACAATTTCTTTTGGATCACCTTCCTCATTGCTCTTTTAACATCTTTGTTCCTCAAGCTATAGATAAAAGGGTTTAACATAGGACTCACAAAGATATAAAAAACAGCTACAATTTTCCCCTGTTCTACAGATGACTCAGAAGGTGGCCTCAGATACATGCAGAACAGAGTCCCGTAAAAGGTAGTGACAGCTGTCAGATGGGACCCGCAGGTTGAGAAGGCCTTGTGCCTCCCCTCAGCAGAGTGCATACGTAGAATGGCTGTGAAAATGAAAATGTAGGAGATGAGGATGATGGTGAGAGAACAGGTGAGGTTGGAACCAGCCACCACAAACATGGCAGTTTCTTTGACATAAGTATCTGAGCAGGCAAGGACTAAGAGAGGAGGGTCTGCACAGTAAAAGTGGTTGATTTCATTGGGTCCACAGAAGGAGAGACGAAGCATCAGGATCGTCTGTGCCAGACCATTTGCAAAGCCATAAATGTAAGGAGTAGCAACGAGAGAGAAGCAAACACATCCGGACATTTTGCTGCTGTACGACAAGGGTTTGCAGATGGCCATGTAGCGGTCATAAGCCATCACTGTGAGCATATAATAATCTGTGATCCCCAGGGCAATGAAAAAGCGGAATTGTATGAAGCAACCAGTGAAGGAAATGCTTTTTCTCTTGGATAAAAAATTAACTAGCATCTGAGGAGTGACACTGGTGGCATAACAGAGATCTACAAAGGAGAGATGACTGAGGAAGAAGTACATTGGAGTGTGAAGTTTTGGGTCACTTCTGATTAACAAAATCATGGTCGTGTTGCCGATTACTGTGATAAGGTAGATGACTAGGAAAATCACAAAAAGGACAGGCTGCAACTCTGCTCGATCTGTCAGTCCCAGGAGAATAAACTCAGTCACTGCTGTGTAGTTTTTCTTTAACATTGTGTTTGCTTGGTTTCAAATGAGACCTAAAGTAAAGGAAATAAAAACACATTTGTCTTTTGTCATTTCTCCATTACCCTCATGATGTCATCTGATACTTCTTCCTCTCCTCTCAAACTGGTAAATACATGTTACATAAGTAGGCATGTGATCAATGTTTTAAATATCTAAATCTATATAGATCTCCTTATATGTAAAGGCAGTCATATTTTTAAATGTTTTCCTGAAAATATTTTCATACTTGAAAAGCCTTTATTTTTTTCTGCAAGTGTTTATCATATTTGTTCAATTATAATTTCCTTAAAGAATTTCCTTAAATATTGCTTTTCTTTGAAATTGTAATGCTTTGCTTTTTCAGTATACCTTTTGATGTGGTATCTAAAACATCAGTCATTGATGCTCATCTGTTTTTCAGAGCTGAATGGACTTAGGGAATTGGAACTGATGTGTGCCATAAGTTCTTATAAAACTACTATCTGTCTATCTGTCCCTCTAAACTCAAGATCATTTTCAAGCTGTTCCCTCTCCCTGAACTCTAGGCTACCTCAGGTGGCCCCGACATCACCAAATTTTACCTAACTCTTAAGACTTAACTCAGGATCTCCTTTGTTTTATATATTATTACCCAAAGAGTAAAAATTGGTTCATGGGGCACAAAATAAAGTTGTATTTTTTTGGTAAAAAAACAGACATATATACAATACATAAATTGTCTCTTTTTCTCTCTCTATCCATCTCTCTATATCTATGTATAGATATCTACATATAGATATAGAGAGATACATACAGAGAGAGACAGATATATACCACTACATATACATACACATATCAGTATTATTCAATGTTAATGTTTGGGACTGGGGGCGATTAGGGGAGAAAATAATGTATTACAGAGTTCCCTGGTGTGAGGGGAGATGATAATGAAAACAAGCTTGAAAAATATCCCTAGATCATAATGATTTTGTTGTAACTCTACCTCTTTTGAACATGTACAGAAATTAAGAAAAACTGTGTAACGTGAATTCAATTTAAGTTCTTTAAAACGTGTAAAGCTCATACTGAAATAGCAATCATATTACCCATACAACTGAGACAGTACATAAGATTTCATGAAATTTATACCCAAAGTTTGTGCAGAATAAAAGTGATCACAAAGACCCTCATGGAAAAACCTACGTTTTCGTTCAGTAGTGCCTACCTATGTATGACAATGTGGTACTGACTCTTGTTAATAGCTACAGTCCCGACGATGGAAACAGGTCACTTTGTAAGGTAGTTGTAAATCCATCACTCCAGCTTCCTTGGTTATTGCATTTTCCTATTCTGCACATGAGTGCTTCGGACTTATTGACCAGGATCAAAAACTGAAAGACAGATCACCTAAATGAATAAAATACTTTTGTATTATACCTTTTTAAATTTTGTAAGATCATAGTAGTTGTCACAATAGACAAATACCCTTTGGTGCTGAGACAGTGGGTGTTTTTGTGTGTGAGAGTGGCCCTGAGCTAACATCCATTGCCAATCTTTCTCTTTTTGCTTGAGGAAGATTGTTTCTGAGCTAACATTTGTGGCAATCTCCCTCTAGTTTATATGTGGGATGCTGCCACAGCATGGCTTGCTGAGCTAGCTATGCAAGTACACGCCTAGGATCTGAACTTGTGAAACTTGGGCCGCCAAAGTGGAGTATGCAAACTTAACTACTATGCCACCAGGCCAGCCCATGGGATGGATTTTTAATAACTATCTATTTATTGAAACAGTCATCAAGAGTAAAACTAAGGAATATCTCCACTTATTTTTTTTTACTGTGGAGAAATAAGACAATATGAGCAAGGACTATTCTGCATAGTGTATCTGAGTAATTTATGGTAATAATGTTCCTTTAAATAAACAGAACACAGCATCTACATGATTTGAACAAGGAGACCTCAAACAGAAGTATTTGCAATTAGACGGAAGTGGCTGTGAAAAACCTGAGGGTTTGCATTCATGACATTCCGTCTCACCCTGAGGTTCTCTCATATAGATGCTAGTCAACCAAAGAGTCTAGAAGGTTGGTCTTTAGCTTTAATAAGTGTGATGTTTCCTGGGCATGTGGTTGTGGTTCAATTTGAAACAGAAAAAGAAATTTAGAGAAGGTATCTTCATGAAATGCATTTTGAATTAATTTGAAATAATTAATAAAGATTAAAACCTAAAAGTGGCCAATTTTCCATGAAAGGGGATACAGCACATTACATGATATTGGGCTTATAATTATAAAGAATAGCATTGTTAAGTTGGAAAGAACCAGACAGATTGTTTAACACAATCCCCTTTCTTTTCTTTGTGAAGCAAGTGAGGGTAAGCCTGGTTAGTTCTTGAGAGTCAACAGAGTGTAACAGTTATTGAGGTCTGCAGCCAGACTTCCTGGCTGGAAATCCCATATCCTCTTATTCCTAGCTGTGGGGCTTGGGCAAACTATTCGTCTTTCTGTGCTTAGGTTTCCTTGGGCATAAAATTTGGTTAGTAATTTTAATTTAATTTAATTTAATTTAATTAAGTTTAATTAACTCCCTTCATGTGGGAGTTAATCCAAGTAAAACTTTTAAAATATTCCTGACATTTATTGAGTACTCAATAGGTTGTAGCTACTATTATCATTCGGTGAAAAATGAAGGTCTGTCTAAAACAAGACTCAACATCAAAGTGTGAGCTCCTTAGGGACAAGGAGTTTGTGGAATCCATACCTACAGTTTCAGTGACACCTAGAACAGTGCTTTCCCAAATGGAGGCAATCAATAATTATGGAGGGAATGAATGCTCGCTTTGGTTTCGTTCCCTTTCCCGATAAATACTACTCCAGTGCATTTGTAAATACTTGTACTCTGACAGAGTAGTGGAATTTAATTCAAGATATTTGCTAATTCATCAAAATATGTTTCAGCACATAATTTTATTTTTATTGATTAAAATATTAGTTTGAGATTCCAAAATATATTTTAACAATAACTAATCCTACCTGTGAAAGAAGAGTGATCCCCCAGTGATAACACGGGTGTGAAGAACCTGAAGACTTTATAATGTAATTGTCATATTGGGACCAAATCCCTATGGTTTAATTATTTCTAGCAGAAAGTCATTCAAACTGTGAACAACTGCTATCTTTTTATTCCTTTGAAAATCCTAAACTCATTGAGAACATGATTTTTGTCCTCTCCCCAATATCATCAGGGACTCAAATTTCGGAAGAGTGATGCAGCAATGGGAGTCATTAATTACTTCAATTTGCACCTGAACGTAATATTTTTCGACTTGGAGGGAACATTATTAATTTCTCTTGTTTACAACATGTAAGAAAGAATAGTGCATGGCATAGGAGTAAATTTCAGAGTGTGGCGGACCATGAGAAGATGAATAATCTTTTGTTGAATTTGGACTAGTTATTTACTGATTCTGAGACCTGTGCTTTATTTTTCAATAGGAATAATAATACATACCTACAGGACAATTGCAGACAGGTGGATAATGTGGATGTGGTAATGATTGTCCGTGTTTCACCCTACCATACCCAGATCCATTGCCTTTTTTCTCTACCTAGCGCTGTCCAACTGAATAGTGATCACATCAATAGAGCACCTTCGGTGTATAGTTTCCAGCTGAGTTTTTCCAATGGGGGAAACCAGTAGGATGTCACAGGTGGGAGCAAGAGAAAAGCAGCTCAGTTTCTTTCTCATTCTCTCTCATCTTCACAATGAAAGTGCTAGAGTGGCTGCAACTTTCCAAGGAAAACTCCTGCAGACATATGTTGAGGACGAGGTTGGCTAAGGAATTACTTCCTTGTTCCAGCTCTCATTGGTCTCTGCTGACAAATGCCACTGCCCTGCCATTTCAGGACTAGGGGTGGAAATTGCTTTCTGCAGTTCGGTTCCAGGTGCTTCAAACTGATTGATTTCTTTAACTTTGCTTGTATTCTCTGTCATTTCATTAAATTCTCTTCAGTTAAACTATCTGAGTAGAATTTTGTTTTATGCCAAGTTCGTGACTCAGGTCAGAGCAGCAGAGAGTAGTTATTCAGTAAATGTTGCAGTGGAAGTAATACCAGTAATAATAATTATTATAATAATGATTATTCATTTTGATAGAGTTTGAGGATATTTCTGGGTTCACCATTGTTGGAGCTTACAGTTGTTATTGAATCACCTGCCTTCTGGATCTTGAAGCATGTGAGGACTACACACAGGAGTCAGATATTAAAATTACTAGCACTATCAAAGGTAAACTGGGATTTGAAAAGCTAGCCAAAAAATTAACTCAGAGCCAAAGCCCACAGCAAGGAGATTGGGGCAGCATATCTCAGAGAGATCTCCTAATACCTTAAATCTACTTTTGCTTTTTTCTATTCATTCAGTAGTATGCCAAGGGTGAGATTTGGGCTCTTTACTTTCCCTCTGTCATAATCTACATTTTTTTCACATCAAGCATTAATGGTAGATGGAGTTCAGGAGAGGAAGACTGGCTTAACCATATGGAAGGTAAAACAGTACTATAACATTTTTGTTATTTGTTATGAACCTGACCCAAATGTACTAGGACTTTACTCTGACTTAAAATACTACTGTAGATAAGACCCAAATAGGAAATTTTGTAGTAGATAATATACATAAAAAATCATAAACTAAACATTTTGTATAAGTTGTCCATGGTAATGAGTCTATTTAAACTAATTTCACTTGAACTAGACTTTCAATTAGATCGGAGAGTTCTAAAAAACTGATCCCTTGCAACTTTCAGTTTAATTTGTGAGAAGTGATCTTAGATTACTAGTGAAAAAGAGAAAAATTACTGTTTACATGAAAGACCACTAATTCACAACCCTCTGCCTAGCATCAGTGTTTAGTTTTTCATTCAATAGCATGGAATTCTTAATTTGCTAAATATTAATTTTGGACCCAAAATGTTCTACAGATCTCTATAGTGTCAAATGAAATTGACACTAATTCTGTCCTCAGAGAACTTACTATCCTGTGAAAGAAATAGACGAGTTATAAAAGGAAGCGAGTACTGCAAAAGAGGGAAAGAAATCCACCACAGGCATTCAGAAGAGGGAAAGACTATTCCAGCTGAGGTTATGATGAGCAGACTCACGGCAAAGATCTTTTCATTGTAAAGAATGGAATGCTTTTGTTATCTGCCCAGAATTAATCCCAATATCTAAACCAGTACTATGTGTTTTTGCATTTGCCAAGAGACATTGTTCATCTAATGATTAACCCATAAATTAGGGTCCCATCCATTAAGACGTGACTATTTAAACACCTCAAGAGTGAGTTGGAATGATGTCCCATAGGCGATTTCTTGATGAATGCTTCAGGGATGATCTCCCGAAGTTAGACATTCAAGTCAAAGTTCTTCTACTTTGGGGACATTTGAGGAGGCTATGAAATCATTACCCCTCCACAGGTAAATCTGATAGTTCTGAAAATCAATAATTCCTAAGAAATACTATTTGATTTCTTACTATTTCCCCTTTTGAAAAGAAAATGGAATTAGTAGTGGACCTAAGAACTGCCACATTAAGATAAAATCATAGGCAGACAGACTGGAGAATCTTTTTGACAAAGATAGCGGGTGACTTGCGGTATATTAGGACGTCAGGCAGGCCTTACACTGTCCTATCCCTGACCTTGGTTACAGATCCATTTCACAACACAGCTAAGATCTAGAGTAAGCTTACACGTTGAGCTTTAGCCAATTGTTGGAATTCAAAAAATCATCCATCCCTTTAATGTGTATTTTTCCTCCAAGCCTACAGCCTTAGAATTTGGCACAAGAAAATATACTCCCACTTCATAGGCTTTTAATAATTTCCTACACTTATTATTAAGAGAAAAGTTTAAAGGGATTTTTCTACATGAGTGTAAGGGTAAAGGTGGAAAAGAAAAAAATAATTGTGAACATCTCTCCTCCCCCTTTCCTTTCCTTCTCTTAGGGTTTTCCAGTTCAGTTTTGCACTGAAATATGACGGCATTGCTGTACCCAGCATGACTAACAGGTTTACGTTGATTTTTTTTCAGGGAAACACACTTTTCTCCACTGTCTTTGTGTCTCTTCCCAACATTGTCATGGATTTTACTGACCTTTCAGCTTAACCATCCCATTTGGCCTAAGTTCTCAGAAAAGATTGCATAGGGCTTGACGATTTTTGGTTTTCTTCCCCTGCATGACACATAGATCTTTAATTCTTACATATACTAAGCATAATTGTGACTGTTTTCAATAATTTTATTATTTATCCTGTAATTATTTTATACATTTAATTATTATCTTCTTTTGGAATATCCTTATTCCTACCATTTTACCACTCGTCATCCACTTGGAAAGAGAGAGAAGTACTGAATGAAGACAAGAGCCTTTTAACAATTTGGAAAGCAACCATCTAATGGAAGTCTATTGCACTGTAGGCTGAATGTGAGACGGGAAGGAAAATTCTCAGACACCATTCAACACAAATGATCTGCACCGACATATTTAAAACTTTGAATATTTTAGTGAGAATGATGACATAAAAGTTGTTCTACATTCC